CACACTTGGAGGCACAGGGTACAAGGGGGGACACTTGGAGGCACAGGACACAAGGGGGCACACTTGGAGGCACAGGGCACAAGGGAGCACACTTGGAGACGCATCTCACAAGGAGCCACACTTGAAGACGCAGATCACAAGGGGGCATACTTTGGAGACCCAGGGCACAATAGGGTGTACTTGGAGGCGCATGGCACACTTAGAGGCAAGTAGTGCACAGGGGTGAACTTGGAGATACGGGGCATGAGAAGGCACTGGGGCATGAGAAGGACAAGGGTGCTTGACGAGGAGGACACAGGAGGCACTGGGAAACGGAGGGGCATGGGGTAGGGGAGTGCTTGGCTAAGTTGTAATGGCATTGCTCGAAGCCATATGTCGCCTGAGCCTTTAAGCATGCACCAATCCAGAGAGCTGTCTTCTGATTGGCCAAGAAGCTGGCACCCTGGATTTCACCTGGAAGCTCCGGCATCCATACACCGGAGAGAAGACCCGGCACTGGATCCCAGGAGTGGGGAGTGTTACATTGGAACGTGAAGCAGCAGTATTTTGTTTTTTCAGCCCTGTGTCCGTGGACTTTGATACTGGGGGAGGAGCAGCTCTGCCCCAAACAAGTCAATGGGAAGGAAAAAGCAGCTTGAAGCGGATCGATGCAGCTCGGGAGGTCACCTGCAGGTCAGATGCGTCTCCGAATGAATCATTGGGCAGGCTGGTAAAACCTGGGCACGGCATTCGCGAGACGCGGCTCCAACATGGAAGATTTGTGGTGGGGTCTCCCTTCCTCCTCGCCAGGGGCACAGTCGAGCAGCTCTGATCACATGATGTTCCCTTTTATTCAGCAGGATGTAGTCATAGGGGCACAGCAGCTTTTTTCGGGGTGTAGCGAATAGTAACATTGTATATTCCATAATAAAGAGATTCAGGTGACAGATTCCCGGACACAGGATCACAAGAGCTTACAATCTAAGAGAGGAGTGCAGCTGCTCCTTTAATACACAGACCTCAGTCAGTACAGTCCCCGAGACCGGTGCTCTTCATTCCCGGATGCGCCGGCTCTCCTTGACAGCCCCCCGCGGATGCGTTTTGCCGCGTTGAAGTTTTAATCATCTCCGTATCTTTATACGTAGATGACACGGAATGGGTCTCAGTAAGGATGATGAGTGGGGAAGATAAAGCGCTTTGGGATCCGTTCAACAATTGCCATCTTTCCTAATTCAGCTTCCTAATCAGCCGAGGAGACAGACTGCGCTCTGCGACGGGGGCTGCAGATGGTTTGGCATCAGAGCGTAGCCCACAGCTCCCTGCTATGGTGACATTAAAGGACAACCCCGGACACAAAAACTTTATTTAAATGTATTCCTCATACAATGTGTGCGCCAGATGCCCTTGCAAACCTAGATACTACCTTGTGAAAGTAGCAGCATCATCATCACTGTGCTATGACTGATGGTAAATGCTTGCTGATTACAGAGCTCAACAGCTCAAGCCAACATTTACATGCCCAAGAGGATATGTCAGAGCAGTGAGCTTTTCCCCAGGAGGAAGCATTTCCTCAGTCTCCCCTCCCCCAGTGATCAGTTTGCTACAGGCAGGAGGAAGCATTTCCTCAGTCTCCTTTCCTTCAGCGATCAGGCTGCCACGTTGTAACTTTGCATCCAGTCACAAGGCGAGAGGCTGCCGCAGGGGGCTGCTCTGCATCAGGCATTTGTGAACACAGCCAAGAACTGCACAGGCCCCCGGGATTTACAGGACTGCGTCATCTCTGAGCCGACATCTCAGTCCAGGAAGTAGACGGTGACCCTGGGTGATGCCTGAAGAAAGATGGCGGCGTCCTTCTGGAGAGAAAAGCAGATGAAGTCACCGTCAGGGGGATGTACAGACAGGTGTGAGGAGGCTCTTTGGTACGTTGTATCGGTTGCGTTGCATTTTGTGATGTCATCAAACTGTTTATAGGTTTTGATTCCATTAAAGGAGACATTGAAATAAAATAAATGGAATCGCCTTTCATTATCCCTCGTTCTTATCTTCCGAAATGTTTCCAACGAGCAGCACAAGCGTGTTGTGGAAACATGGATTCCCGGGGCGCGCACTTTTAAGAAGCATTGTCACATGGTGCGCCGTCCAAAGAAAACAAGCTGCG